TTAATTAACTTCCGGTTCTAGGTATCTGATATATTCATAATCATCTGGTAAACTTGCACAACTGGCCGATGGTCTGCTGCTTTACATAATCTCAACAAGAGCTGTTCTGTGAGGTAGCAGGGATAGTCAGAATTAAAGTCGACTCTGAAAGCATTTACTCTGAAAGGTTAACTCTTTAGTTTTTGCTGTGTGTAAAAATATTGTAAAATACTGTAAAAATGTCAACAGCTGTATAGTGATTATTTGTTATTCAGATGCACTGTATTTATATATGTAAAAACACTATACCGTACGGTGTTTTGTTAAATTTTTTATACTTATTTATATTTTTTAATGAATTTTAAATGAGTTTTATGTTTTACTTATTTATTTTCTATACAGCAATTTGGTCAGCTGTGGTTTTTAAGTGCTTAATCAATAAAATTGAATTGGATATTTTTTCAAACCCCATCACTTATTCTACTATTTTTTCATACAATTTTTCAAGGTCCACATATTATGACCACTTTGACTGTAATCTGTTGCTGCTGTAACTCCACTATTTCCCCACTGTGGGAGTTTCTATTCTATGTAGTGTATATCTGCTGTTTATTTAGTAATGTCTTCCAAAGCTCTGATGCCTTCATGAAGTTCTCCCTCCAGCCCTGATGTCAACAGTCTGTTGATTTAAACTAAAACACTCTGCAGTGCTGAGGCATCCTTCTACTGTTCTGCTTAAAGGGGAACGCTGTTTTTTTTACATTGAGCCCTTGATTTTACGTTATTACATCATGTTTTACTCACCCTATATGAGAAGATATTCCGTTAGGTTATATCCAAGTAACGTCTTCCTTTGGGCAACGACTTGAAGGCACAAACTAAACTATCATCTGTGGTAGTAGCACTAGACATCTTCCAGGCATGTGGGTAAAACTAGCAGCAGTTCAGCGAACGGGATGAATGAATGGTAGCCGGCGCACGCGGATGACATCATACACACGCCGCTTTGTTTTTTTTATTATAAATATAAAAAATATAATGGCGGATGTCTGGGGGGCAGTGATTTGCTTACATGTTATGAATGCTGGCGTACCATAAAGAATAAATTATTAACGGTTTAGTTTGTGTGTGTGTGTGTGTGTATATGTATATGTAAACACTACTGTTCAAAAGTTTGGGGTCACATTGAAATGTCCTTATTTTTGAAGGAAAAGCACTGTACTTTTCAATGAAAATAACTTTAAACTATTCTTATCTTTAAAGAAATACACTCTATACATTGCTAATGTGGTAAATGACTATTCTAGCTGCAAATGTCTGGTTTTTGGTGCAATATCTACATAGGTGTATAGAGGCCCATTTCCAGCAACTATCACTCCAGTGTTCTAATGGCACAATGTGTTTGCTCATTGGCTCAGAAGGCTAATTGATGATTAGAAAACCCTTTTGCAATCATGTTCACACATTTAGCTCGTTACAGAAGCTA